CATTGCAACTGTTAAGCTTGTAATTTACAGCATAATAACCTATCAATGTTTGACAAACTTTACATCATTTTGTCACTGCATAATGCACCTGTCAACCTTGTTAAAAAAAGTAAAAAAAATCAATGAACCAAAAATTAATATTCCCCCAGCTATAGCAACGTACTCAAATTTGCTAAACATTATTTGTCACTTCAACATTTTTCCAATAAACCAACAATCAAACTACTCAAAACTACACATTTGTCTTACTCAAAACTAAATAATTGTCTTTCAAGTACCAACAGTGAACATTCAATGTCATTTTGAAACATAGATTTCTCTTGCTTTCTTAAGCACTTCCTCTTTGTTATCATTGATTGGCAGCAGTAATATGCATGAAGATCTTCGGAAAATGGCCTGCACATATATTCAGAAACAAATAAAAGTTAATATATATGTCAATTCTTAATAAGGAAATAATGTAAACTACGGGCAAAAATAATATACATTTTCAGATTGAATGAAATTTTCATTCTGATGCACTTAAACACCAACACTGTAAAATAATGTACACTAGGGGCAAAAATAATGCAAAAATAATGTACATTTACTTTGTTGAATGAAATTTTCATTCTGATGCACGTGAACACCAACACTATAAAATAATGTATACTATGAGAAAAAATAACGTACAATAAGGACAAAAATAATGTACATTTTCAGATTGAATGAAATTTTATTCTGATGCACTTAACCACCAACAATATAAAATAATGTACACTAGGGACAAAAATAATGTACACTAAGAACAAAAATAATGTGCATTTTCAACAAATTATGGCAAAAGAACTGAATAGATGACCTAGGCCTTTCAGTGGACTACAATGATACAAAGTCAGAACTCATAATTGAAGTTCAACATTCTGTCTAAAGTTATATTCTTAAAGAGAAACCTCTTAATTATCCACTATATTATTTCAACTCAGAATTGACAACAATGAACACAAAACACAATAAAGAAAATATTATATTAAGCAACAACAACCAAAAAAAAAAAAAAACAGATTAAAGCCTTAAAGAGTAAATGAGAGGCATACTAACAGTCTAACATCCTAGAAAATTGATAACACCCAAAAAATAGAAGCTGATTATAGGAACACTTAACACATACAGAACAACTCACCAGCAAATTCATTTTCTTAAAAAAAAAAAAAAAAAAAAAAAGGTAAGACCTTAGAAGTAGTATCTAACAATTGTGTTACAACCAAAGCAACAAAATCGAATACTGAATGCAAAAATCAAATTAGAACTTCGAGGACCTTAGACTCTAATTATGCCATTAGAAAATATCATTCACAACAGATTGCAAATGCAAGGACTCTTAAAATCTCTTAATCCAAACACTATTTGAACTTAATTATAAATTCTATTACTCCATTCCAGAATTACAGCACATAAAGAACTAAAAATACTTCATTCTATAATAATTTAAATAACACATTATCACATATCATGCAACTTTGGTATGAAAATAGCAAGAAGGGAAAGCTTAAATAATTGAACTCTATGCCTACCCAAATCCTTCAAATGATTCACTCTGGTAACAGGGATGATAGGGGCAGCCAAAATGCAATGCAATGTAGTAACTATGCTCATAACTTTCATAATTTTTGCCATTAAAAATCAACCAAAATGCAGAAAAGTACAGTGTACAACAATAAATCACAGAAAAATGAATCTACAAAATGCAACAAAAACCCTAGGTAGAAACCACTATGAAGGTATAAACCTTAAGTAGAAAATAATGTACATTCATGTTGTTTGAAGCTCTAATAGGGGTGGGTGGGTGTTTAGTAAGAATAATACCTTAGGAATCTGTGCAGCAATGAAGGTTTTCTCTCGTTTCAGCAGTGTAAACGACGAAGCGCAATGGAGATGACAAGGCGCAGTGGAGAGGACGAAGCGGCGTATAAACCCTAGGTAGAAATCAATATTAAGGTATAAACCCTAGGTAGAAAAAAATGTATATTCATGTATTTGAAGCTCTAATAAGAAAGAATACCCTATGAATCTGCAGGAGTGAAGCTTTCCTTCGTTTCAAGAGGACGAAACGCAATGGAGAGGACGAAGGCACGAAGCGACGAAGCTCTGAACACAGGTCGGTCTTCGTTTAGGATTGTTGCTGCTTCTCGATGAAACTGCTTCGTTTAGGATGCCGTTAACGTCGCTGTCTCTTCTTAAAGAAGAGACGGCATCGTTTAGGATTGTGGTCCACACAAGTTGTGTGGACCACGGTCCATGCAATAAGCATTGGAAAAAAACAATTTGAGAATAATTTCATTTCGCATCTAACAAGTAATAGCTCATAGTTATATTATCCAAAATTCTTGTTATCTTCCGTTGTAAGAAATTAGTAAGCTGCTCCATCGGCAACTGAAATAACTGCAAATCTGCAATCAGGCACGGACAAAAGACGAAAAAATTGTTGGAAAAGAGAAATATAATGTAATAATGTAATAGAGAAAATAGGACTATTTTTAAATCTGGAGTTAATTAAAGATTAGAGTTTTTACCCATTTTGGTCCCTTGACTATGGCCCATTCTCAATTTTGCATTCAGACTTTTAATTGCACCCAATGTGATCCCTCGACTTTTAAAAATTACCCCAATTTGGTCCTCCGTTACCTTTTCCATCAATTAACCGTTAAGTTGGAGGGTATTTTAGTCATTTCGTTGTGTTTTGTGGTTTATGCTTTCTCTACGTCTACCCATCCCTATAGCAGCCAGAGCAGCCAGAGACATCTCCACCCGCCGACACCCCTTGAACCCCAGAAACAGCGATGCCACTACACGTCATCACAACTCCGACCGCCGCCAGCCACCGCCATTGCAGAAGGCTCTGTTCTGCACTCGTCGGAGCTACCCACGCTGGAGTTCTGCTACTGCCGGACGAGAACCAGTCGAGCTCACTGCCGATCACCCACACTTGCTGCTGCCGTCGATCTGCTCTGTTTTACTGTACATCTTCGCCTGCTGCCTAGCGGGAGAGGGAGAGAAAATCGAGGAAAAAAGGAGAGGGAGGTGATGGAGGAGATCGCCGGAAGAAGACGACAGTACTCCATTGCGGCCGTGCATAGGCAATCGGAGTCCACCGTTGGAATCAGTGATGCTAGGGCTGTTGATCGCCATTGCCAATTTGTTGATCGCGCACCTGTTGCGAACTCTCAAGTCTCCATCGTCAATGGAGGTTCTGATCCCATATTTCCCTGCTTCGTCAAAAGAAACACAGTTGACTCTGATCCCATATTTCCCCATTTCAACGCACAAGCTCTTGTGATCACACCTCACCACCGCACAAGCTCTTGTGATCACACCACAGTTGGCTCTCATCCCGCTTTCTCTCTAGGCGGAATTTTCTTCCAACGCGCTTGGCTTCAGGGCGTTTTGGTCTCAAAACCGTCTCCCTCCAATAATGATGTCGGCCGCTTCCTCCTCGACGATGGCATCGGCGTTATCGAACTCAAGCTCTATGGTGACTACTGACTACCTACAAAGCGATGCCTGGGAATTAGGTATGTATGTAATGGTTGTTGGAGGATATGGTGACTACTGACTACCTCCAAATGCTGGTCTCACGGCTCTCTGTTTGAACAACTGATCGGAGAGAAAGCTAAGCCCAAGAGAGAACAAAAACCACACAACACAAGGAAATGACCAAAATATCCCCAAACTTAACGCCTGGTTAATGGAAAAGGTAACGGAGGACCAAATCGGGGCAATTTTTAAAAGTCGAGGGACCACATTGGGTGCAATTAAAAGTCGGAATGCAAAATTGAGAATGAGCCATAGTCAAGGGACCAAAATGGGTAAAAACTCTTAAAGATTATTAGGACTTGACTTTGGAAATTACTGGTAATATAATAAAAGTGCCAATAATGATCGACAGACCAGAAAAGAAATAGCTCACGACAGGTAACAGGATGTCGTCGTCGTCGATTACGGAGGTCAGGGATTCCGACGAACGCACACCGCTTCTTGGGAGACCTTCGATTGTAGCACTCGGTGCGGACGTCCATAGAGCGGCGCGCAATTTGCGAAGAAGAGAGAGTATTCGTCAGGAATGTGTTCGTCATCGGAGAGGAGCTCACAGGAGAAGAAAGAAAAAATGAGTAAAATAACTAAAATACCCTCATTATTTGACCTATTAAATTTTTTCAGTGAGATTTGGTCGGCAATTTGACCGGCGTGACCAAAATTGATAGAAATTGCATAGTCAAGGTATTAAATTAACATTTTTAAAAGTCAAATGTTGCAATTAACAAAACTCCAATAGTCGGTGAACCAAAATTAAAATTTTCTCTATAATAAATTTATAATTTTTTTTTTCTAATTCAACACAAAAAATGGTAAATATGTAATTGAATAAATCATATATTTTTTAATTACTTAGAAAAGAATCCTACCCAAATAGGCTGAGAATTATTTTCTTTGATTTAAAGAAATCTATTCCTGACCCGAGCTTTCTCAAGTTGAAGGAGTTCACCCAAAAAAAAAAAAAAAAAAATTAAATCTACCTTTTAAATTCTAAAAGTTTGAATTTTCTTTGACTACCAAATTCCTTCTTAACCTTTGATTTATTTTATTGTGGTTTATTTCTTGGTTTTCAACAGTCTAGCTTTGATCCCCGGCCAAGCACAACAGGGGTGCTTACCTCACTGAAAAACATGTTTACAACTATATGCATACAATTTACAGAGAAGGCCATGTATTAATCAAATTTAATTTGTTTGACCATCTTTAACTATTCGACTTGATTAAATAATTAATATGAAGTTTAGTTAATCAACTTTTTGTAACAATTTATAAATGTTAAAATTTAAAAAGTTACTCAAAATAACTTTTTCTATTAATTTTTTTTAAATAAATTATATCCTTAAAAGATCGTTTTTGCATCTAATCAGCTATGAACTTAAAGTTAATTTACCAAACATCTTTCAACGACCACTTAATATTATGTCTTCCTATCACCGGAGATGTTGCCGGCGGCTAGCTGCAACTTCAGCAGTCGCCAGAATCAATAATTACCATGATCTGTTTATGTTTTCTTGGGGAGATTTCGGCTTTTCGTCAATTAATTAAAACATGTTCTTAACCTCTGAAATATGGTTTGCACAAGGATGTTACAGCCAAGACCAATCACTACACACTTTCGCCCCTTACTTCAAACCTTAACGACGACAGGTTTTACGGCCGCCACTGAACTTAACACCATTCTCGAGAGGTTGCGCGTTGGGCCCTCGCGCAGCCATCTCAATGAGGCCCTTTCAATTTTCTACTCTCCAAATTCCAGTCCTTCACACTCCCCCAAATCATATGCGATTCTCTTCCACGCCTGTGCGCGTCTGGGCTGCATCGACGTCGGCCAAGCTCTCCACCAACACATGCTTACCCACAATCCCATTGCCATCCAAGACCTCTACACTGCCAATCACCTTCTAAACTTGTATTCCAAGTCTGGCCAGTTGGACTGTGCCCATCAACTGTTCGATGAAATGTGCAGGAGAAATATTGTATCTTGGACGTCTCTTATTTCGGGTTATGCCCAGAGTGGGAAAGCTGATGCATGTTTCAGTTTATTCTCCAACATGTTGGCTCATTATAAACCCACTGATTTTGCATATGCAAGTGTGCTCTCGGTGTGTGATGGTTTGCGTGGGAAGCAAGTGCACGCTCTTGCATTGAAATCTGGTTATAATGTTTTTGTTTATGTGGGAAATGCGCTGATCGGGATGTATACCAAGAACAATGAAATCAGTGTATACAGTGATGAGAATGAAGCTTGGAGGGTGTTTAATGATATGGAGTTTCGTAATATTGTTTCATGGAATGCAATGATAGCTGGTTTTCAAATGAGTGGCCAATGTGAAAAAGCTATGAAGTTTTTCACAATGATGCATTCTGATGGATTGGGATTTGATCGCGCCACTCTTGTCACTGTACTTTCTTTATTGTCTAGCCAATGTGACCTTTCTTGGAGTTTAAAATTCTGTTCTCAACTGCATTGCATTGCTTTAAAAACTGGGTTTGTGTTAGATATAGAGGTTGTGACAGCTTTGATAAAAGCTTATTCCTTTCTTGAAGGAAACATTGGTGATTGCTATAACTTGTTTCTGGAGGTTCGCGGGCATGAAGATATTGTCTTGTGGACTGAAATTATGGCAACGTTTTCTGAAACAGAACCCGAGCAGGCTCTCTTCCTTTTCAGTCAGTTGCATACCGAAGGATTGATTCCAGATAGCTATGCTTTTTCTGTTGCACTGAAAGCTTGCGCTGGATTTGTGACAGAAAGGCATGCCTCGGTAGTGCACTGCCAAGTAATAAAAGCTGGGTTTGTAGATACTTTAGTGCTTGAAAACTCATTAATTCATACATATGGTAGGTGTGGCTCAATTGCTCAGGCTAGGCAAGTTTTTGGTGAGATGAGATTAAAAGATGTGGTGTCATGGAACTCCATGTTAAAAGCTTATGCATTCCACGGGGAGCCGGAGGAGGCATTGAAGTTGTTCGAGAGCATAGACGTTGAACCTGATGCAACCACCTTTGTTGCACTGCTCTCGGCTTGCAGCCATGCCGGGATGGTTGAAGAAGGGACTAGAATATTTAATAGTATGTCTGGAAAACACAGAATTGCTCCTCAACTCGATCACTATGCGTGTATGGTTGATCTACTAGGGCGAGCTGGACAGATTTTTCGGGCAGAGGAGATAATAAGACAGATGCCTATGAAGCCAGATTGTGTTGTGTGGAGTGCATTACTTGCTGCCTGCAGGAAACACGGCGAATACCAACTGGCCACCGTTGCTGCTTCTAAGTTAAACGAGCTAGATAGCGGGACCTCATTAGGTTATGTCGTAATGTCAAATGCGTACTTCTCGTTGAATAATTTTGGTGAAGCACAACTCACAAGGAAGCAAATGAAATGGCTTGGAGTTCGGAAGGAGCCCGGATTGAGCTGGACTGAAATTGGCGGTAGGGTGCACGAGTTTGCTTCCGGGGGGCAAAAACACGAGTTTGGAGAAGCTATTCGGACCAATCTGCTGGATCTTGTAAAACAGCTGAAAAAACTAGGCTACACTCCGCTAACTAGTCTGGTCCTACACGACATAGAAGAAGAGCATAAGGAGGAGCAACTGTACTTCCACAGTGAGAAGTTGGCTCTCATGTTCATACTCATGAATGCTAAAGACCCTCACTGCAAATCAGGTGTGGTTAGGATAATGAAGAACATCCGCATTTGCTTGGATTGCCACAACTTTATGAAATTGGCGTCACAGCTGGTTCAGAAACAGATTATCGTTAGAGATTCCAACCGTTTCCATCATTTTCTGGGTGGGATATGTTCTTGCAATGATTATTGGTAGTTGCTTCAATGCTACTTCCCTAGTACACAGCATTATTGGTAGGTTGGGATGAAAATGAATGAATGAATGGTCACCCAGTTGAATGGGCCAGAAGAATCTGAACACCAAGTTTCTGTCATTTGGTGACCTCACTGTATATCAAAATTGTCCATACATTTGGTGACCTCACTATTTGGTGAACACCAAGTAACACGAGTCTTAGGTCCAACCTGAAGCACTACCGTGATGGTCAAAGACTCAAAGCGATTAAGGCAATCAACAGTGTGCTGGAAGTAATCCAAACACTTAGTAGTGGCAGATTTTGATGGAGTCTCACTTTGATACTGGGGGATCCATAGAGTCTCGCTCATAGAGGAAGAGTACGTGCGCTATTGCGCTACGGTTTACGTAGTTGATCGGATCAGATGGCCCTTCGGGCAAGCAACCAAACCCGGCACATCCAATTCCATTCCGATCAAATACTTGGAGGTATGGCTGAGTGGCTTAAGGCATTGGTTTGCTAAATCGACATACAAGAAGATTGTATCATGGGTTCGAATCCCATTTCCTCCAGTACGGAAATTCAACAGGTGGATAAATTTACGTGAGAGTTGTATTTAAAGAGATCATCTCAAAATTAGAAAATTAAGAAATGGAAATGCAACAAGATTCTTTATTGATTGATTATCAATCATTTCTAAGCATTTGGAAATTTGCACCACAATTGACAACCGTTTTACAACTCCAAACAACTCCAAAAATGAATGATATAGAAGGAAATGTTTATGATATGATGATATCTTTCTCAAAGGAAATTGTTTATCATAAAGGAAATAAAAAAAGGAAATGTTTATGATATCTTTCTCAATATATGCCAACCAAGAAGGTAGAACATTCTGTAATTGTTCTTCAAAGTTCCTTCTGTTGATTAATTCATCTTAATCTTCAGATCTGTTTCTAGATTCACCAACCAAGCAGTTCTCAGGGACATGTTGTAGAGCTGGCCTACTCACAGCAGTCTGTTCATCAAGTTGAATGGGAAAATTTCCAATTCAGTATGCAGAACCACGTAATTATAAGCATTGAATAAGTGATAATAATAAGATGCTAGAAAGTGCATGGATCTCTCACCTTGGTGCTTTTTTCTGCATTCTGTATTTTCATCTCTTTCATCATCTTAGTGAGCTGTCTGAGACTTAAATCTTCCAAGGGCTTTTGATTCTTCACCTCAGCATTGCCCTTTTTCTTCAGCTTTTCTTTTGTAACAACCAATTTCATGCCACTATTATCAATGTTCTCCTTGTCATCTGTGACATGGTTTAGACCCATAGTTGTTACTGGTTCCCTTGGTGTCATCGTCTTGTCAGAGGGTGTTTTCTTCACCAGTGAGGTGTTGTCTGAATCTGTTTCTGCCACATCAGAAACAGAAATGTGAGCAGGAGGATCCAACATCAAGGTGGAGTTTGGATCAACTAGATCCTTGCTTGCAGGGTCCACTAACTTCTCTTCTTGCATCTCATCTGAAGAAGCATCTTGTTCAGAAATTTCATCATTCATGCACTGCCCCTCATCATCTTCATTGACAGATGGCTGATTGGATAAAGCCATGTTCCAGTGAAGATCAGCAGCATCTTCAACATCAGTATTAGATTCTTCCTCATTGTCAAGAACCATGCCATGATCTTCAACCTCACATTCAGAATTTTCTTTAGTGTCAAGTTCCTCCTCATCATTCACATCCTCCTCTTCAACATCAGTATTAGAAATTTCCTTAGTGTTGATGATGACCTCATCCAATTGCTTGGTTAGAATTATACCATTACCCACAACCTCAAGGCCAAGGCCCCCCTTGCACAAATCATCAACCTCAAAACATTCAGAATTTTCGTTAGTGTCAAGTTCCTCGTTACATGAAGCAGCACCCAACTGCTCACCAATAACAACAACCTCCTGGAATTTGGGTTGAAGATTAACATCTTCAACTTCACTGTCAGAAATTCCATTAGTGTTGTTGTTGCCCTGGTCCTCCTGCTCCTCCTCCTCCTCCTCCTCATCCAATTGCTTGTGGCCTTTGTTTAGCTCATCATCCAAGTGTTTGCATTGAATTGTATTCTCACCAACATCAACATCTTCAACAGCATGGTCAGAGATTTCATCTCTAATGTTGTCCTCAGCCTCCTCCTGCTGCCCCCCTTTGAAGTGAGAGTGGTCTTCAACCATTTCATCACCAGCTTTTTCCACCACACATTCAGAAACTTCACCAGCCATGTTATCACAAAAGGCATCCTGACCTTCAAGCCCAAGATCAGCACCTTGTTGTAAGTCCACTTCAACATCATTTGATTCCTTGCCAGCAGAGAAATCTACAGTTGCTGCATTTCCAACCAGAGTGAGAAAAAAATTTCCATAAAACACTCAACAGTATCCAAGAAAAACAAAAAATTAAAATGTAAACTGACCATAATTTTCAATGAGCCCATTGGTAATCTCTTCAGTAGCATGTTCTTCAGAGTTTTGATGCATATCAGCACTAAGTTCCTTGCTTGCCACATTTTGATTCTCATTTCCATTAGAGAATGCACTTGAATCTGCAGCTGATCATAATAAGAGTTCAGAGATGCAGTTAAACATAGTAAAAGATATAATGTTTTTTTTTTTCCTATTGTCAAGGCATACCAGCTTTCCCCTGTTCATCATCCAAGTGGAGAGAACACAGTTTAGAGTTGACTTCCAAAATATCATATGTTTCATCGGTAAATGAATCAAACGTAGCCGTCTGTGACATTTCAGTACCCTCTTTGCTTGACTCTTCATATTTTGAGGCTAACCTAGATGATCTGCGAGTGCTGTATACTGGCCGAACTGAAGTGTTCTCCTTCACTTGCCTCCTTCGGGTTGTCATACGTGTACCTGGTGTCTTTGGAAGATCTTTCTTTTCATTCAAAGTCTGCTCCCCATCTTGTTCTGTCTCTACACATTCCTTCAGCAAGCTTTCCATTTTTGAGCTAACTGAAGTTGTCGCTGCCCTTCTTCTAGCAGTTGGTGCTGCTGGAGTCTCAATCACATCATTCTTCACTTGGTCCTCGAGGGGCATTCTTCTTGTTGATCGACGTGTCCTAGTCATAGTCTGAGAAATTTCAGGGCGAATTGCAGCTCGTCTACTAGTGCGAGGAGCACTTGACATCATATCAGACTTCTCAGGTGACTCAACAGACGAATTTGCAATCTCAGATTCTGATGGCTTCATGACCTCTTCAATACCTTCAACCTTTAATGCACATATACATGTATATACATAAGCAAATTGCTATACAACAAATCCTTCCTTCCAATATAACATCTATTCCGTATGATTATTGAAAACATTTAAGTGTTTTATGTACATAGACTCAACATCAAAAAAACCAGAACTTTGAACAGCTAGCTTTTTCTCAAAATTCAGAATTACTATGGGGATCCAGTTACTATTGTGATCTGAAACTTGAGATATCAAAGGAAAGAACAGTCGATATGTACATTGCCTTCAATCAGAATTACTATGGGGATCCAGTTACTATTGTGATCTGAAACTTGAGATATCAAAGGAAAGAACAGTCGATATGTACATTGCCTTCAATCAGAATCATCATACTCAAACTAATCCCCGTTCCCAATTCGCACGGACTGGCGCAATTAATTTTCTCATATAAGAGGTGGTTCGAACTCCCGACCTCTCTTAACGGACAAGGGGTGGGTCACCACGCCAAACCTTTATTTAAGAGTAATTATTATGACTCATTAAACATAGAATATACGGAGTATAATATTTTTTTTTTATCATTATTCCCATCAACATTTGAATCATTTACATACAGAAATTCCATCAGGAAATCAAATCTAGTACAGAATCATTTCCAATCCAAAATCAATTAATTTGATTCCAGATTAAAAATCCTCTGCCCTCACTGTTAACATGGAATGGAATAATAATTTGCAAGCTAATTTATCAATTCATTTCTATTTCTATTTGAAATTTGAAAAATTACAAGAACAGTATTAGAATCGGAAATTGAAAACATGAAATCGGAGGGCTTTGACAGAAAAATACATGAACTCAAGAGCTTTATCCATTCATTTTAATTTCAGACCAATTCAAAAACATCAACAAATAAATACAGATAAATTTAAAAACATTAAAAAGCAAAAGCAAAAATACACACATTAAAAAACATTAAAATAAAATACAGATTATAACAACTTCAGACCGATTCAGTAAAAGAACTTACGAACTCAAGAGCTTTGAGAGCGTTGGCCATGGCGACATTGGTCATGTTAGCCGGAATCTTGTTCGACTTGCAGAGGGCTTGGAGTTGTCTCCTGGTGAGGGTTTGGAAATCCATGGAGGACAATCGAGATCGAAGTGATCTACTAGGGTTTGGTGTTTTGCTACTGGGGCTGGCTAGATAGTAGATGCTATAATGAAGAGCAGCGGCAAGGATAAAGAGCTATATATAGTGCTAAACCTGGTCGGCAAATGTCAATATAGCCGTTGGAGCGGAGATTCAAAATTTGAATTTCATTTTAATTGTATACTTGCGATGGGCTGATTATGTTTCAAGTTTCTGGTACATTCCTCTATGGGCCGTTCCGTATTGGGCTATATATAATGTACAAATGGGCATTCTTGGGCCAGGATCGTGGTTTATGACGCGCCTAAGGCAAATTATTGTGTGGATCATGGTCTACATAATTGTATAGACCATGAATATAAGGTACATTTTTAATATATTAAAAGTACATTATTTTTGTATTGGAGATACATTATTTTTTATACTGAAGACACATAATATAAAATAATGTACCCTTAGTATATTAAAAATGTAGTTTCAAAAAATGTACCTTATGTACATAAATAATGTACCCTTAATATATTGAAAATGTACTTTTTATTTATGGTCTACACAATTGTGTGGACCATGGTCCATGAAATAATGATTGGCGCCTGAGACCTGAGTCATGGAGCAATCGTTATACCCTGCACCACGGTGGACATAGCAATGTGCGTCCCGCGCCTCCCAAAACAACGTCGTTTTGATAAGTTGTGTGGGGAGTCGACGCGACACAGTGTATGTGTATTATGTTTGATAATTATGTACATTATGTTATATAATTATGTACATTCTGTTATACAATTATGTACATTATTTTATATAATTATGTACATTTTCAAAACATTATTTTTTTTTAATAAGTTAACAACAAACACGAAAAAGCGGAATTTAAAAAAAAAATGCAAAATCGACGTCGTTTTGCACCAAGGCGCATATTACAATGCGCGCCCGGTGCACGATATAAATTGCCGTCATGGAGTCTGTTTGCGGCAATTTATATCGTGAACCAGGACCCACATAGCATTGTGAACTTTGAATTAAAACAACATCGTTTTAATATTTAAACTTTAACAAATTTTGTAGGAGTTGATTCCACCAGAAATCTCTTGTCTTTGGTGGCAATTTTAAATTTAGTCCCAGACTATCATTTTTGTCATTTAACATCACAGACTATTATTTTTTTTAGACACTTTTAGTCCTTCTCATGACTTTTCCTATTTTTAGTAAGGGAATTTTTATCTATCCATATTTTTCTTTTGTTGTTTTTCATATTTCAGCCGGTTTAATTGGTTTAGGACTTTACTAAAAAAACAGTTGAAAATATGGTTACTAAAAATCAGAGGTTACCTAAAGTTTTAAACCAATTAAATCGCCTGAAACCGAAAAAATAACAAAAGAAAATATAAAAAGATAAAACTCCCCTTACTAAAAATAGAAAAATTCATGAGAATGACTAAAAGTGTCCAAAAAATAATTGTCAGGGACGTTAAATGAAAAAAATGATAGTCTAGGACTAAATTTAGAATTGTCACAAAAAACAAGGGGCTTTTGGTGGAATTAACTCAATTTTGTAGTTTTCTGTTTCTCATGTTCCAACACAAATTTAATTTATTCTAAGTAGAGAATCAATACTCTTAAAGATACTGAATTTCATATCACAAGATAGAAAAACTCACAACACAGACATACACATGTTATATATTTACTTATTCTCAAATTTGATGTATGTAGATAATATATGTCCTATAGCACGTAATTTCATAGACATAAATTTGTAAAATAAGACACAATATGTTGTGTGTTACACAACTACTAATCTCTTTATGGTACAAAATTCATACGCTTAACGTACAGAATTGCATGACATGAAACACAGAAACACATAACACAAGATACATACACATGTTTTATACTTACTTTAGTTCAGGTACAGAATCAATATTCTTTAAGGTACAAAATTGCATAACATAAGACACAAAAAAGCATAACACGAGACACAAAAATGCATAGCGCAAGACACAAAAGCGCGTGTTATATTTACTTTATTTCAGGTACAGAATTGCATAACATGAGACACATAAACGTATAACACACGACACATACACATGTTTTATAGTAAAAAAAAAAAAAGAAAATTGTAACGTGAATTGAACAACAAATGATCGACATCAAAATTAAAATTCAAAACTATGTCGTTTAGGACTAGGGTCCACAATGTACTGTGGACCCTAGTTCACGGTATAACGAAGTCACATAGTCGACAAATTGTACCATAGACCATGATCTATCTTGCATTGTGGATCGTGATCCAAAAATAACCTTCAAAATTTGTACTTGCAGTTGACACATTCTGTAAATGCAGTTAATCATTTCTGTATCTATAAACAAATTGAAGGCACATCGTAATGACATACACATAACATGATAACTATAGACACATAAATTATTAACTGCAAATACAAAATATGTTAACTACGTGCATATAAGATGGTGGTTAACATGTTAAGTGTCTATAGTTAACATATTCTGTACTTGTAATTATAGTTTATGGGTCTGTAGTTATTATATTATGTCTGTAATTAAATTATGTGTCATTAATTGTAAGTACAGAATATATAAATTATAGACACATAATTTATAAATTAAGATTTACAATGTAATATGAACCCAACTGGACTCACAATTGCACGCAGTTCCCTCATCACCCTTGCTAAGCTAGCTGCAACAGGTCACTATTTTCTCCCCAATCAATGGTAGCACAACACGCTTAAGCAATTCCACTGGTTTAATTTTTGTTTCATCTGGATCTTTTGTAAATTCGTAATACTGATAAAGATTGCGTACTAGGCTCTTCTTGGTCAATTTTATTCAAAACATCAGTTGATGCCTCCTTGTGACCGTCGTGGTAGTGGTGATGGTATTACACTGGGTAATGACATTATTTATTATAGGTCCATCAAAGATGTAGAACATTCGTGTTAATATTTTTGCGTGAATCAATGCATTATTCTCACCTTGAGGGAATTAGCTAGAGAGAATTTAAAGTGAGAAAATAATAAATTAACGTGAGAATTTAAATTACATTATTTGGTAAACTAGTAATTCACCTGCGCGATGCACGGGGAAAAATTATGTTATTATAAATATAAATAAAAAAATAGAAAAAATAAAAAAAAAATTAAATTGTTTAAATAATAATATTTTTGAGCTTCTATTGGTCAAGTATTTATTATTTTTATAGAATACAAAATTACAATTAAAATTTTGTATGGTTAATATAATCTCTAATTAGGTACATATTCAAATAAAATTATAGAGAGAATTTACATAATTATATTGATTTATTCTTAATTGTATTTCATCTATATTATAATTTTCACAATACGAATAATAACTAAGATAATTACATTTAGAAAGCAAAAGTAAATTTAAACTCTAATTGAACACATTTTTTTATATGATTATATAATATATTCTTTATGCACATGTCATTCCATAAACCCAAATGTCATTTTATAAGTCCAAGACCACTTTTTGTGGAGATAATTCAAATATTTTTTTTTTCTTTTAAAAGTCCTAAGTTTAGACATTCAGAAAAACATTAAAGACCCATACGATATATACATTTATATATATTTAAATTTTTATTTATGGCTTAAATGATTTTTTTTTTTATTCTGAAGTCCAATAATTGACCCACGGCCTGCAACATTTGCTTTCTTCATCCCTTCTTGCTTCTAGCATTTGAGAGGGAGAAAAATTATATGTAGAGGCTTGCATTAATTGCACTATTTCATATATCGAATAGACTTCTATAAAAAATTTAATTAATATTGTAATCCCAAGAACCACCATAAATAACAAAAGCATATCAAATAGACTTTCATTGTAAAGCCAGAGATTTAATTAATATTGCATCATTTCATATTTTCTATTAATCGGGAATCGGAATCTTTAATCCTAATATCATAACATTTAATAACCCCATTAATTCAATAAATGTAATCCTTTGTTATAGGCGAGAAAAAAATAACTATTTTATTTTTCAAAAAAAAAATTCAAATGTTGTGTTTTTTTTTTTTTTTTGTTTTTTTTATAGTAAAAGATGTTGTGGCTATTTAATGTTGGTAATTAATTTAACATTTATTATTTCCCAAACCATATAGCTTTATTATATGTAAGATGTGAATATAATAATTGAGAATTGAAAGAAGTGAATAAAAATTAAAATGTCATTGTATAATAATAATCATAATAATAATAATAATAATAATAATAATAATAATAATAATAATAATAATAATATAATAATAATAATAATAATAATAATAATAATAATAATAATAATAATAATAATAATAATAATAAGAAAATGATAAAATAGTCATTTATCATAAAATTATAATTCTTAAGGGGATCTTAGGAATTGCAATTCCATAGTTGGAGAGAATTGCAATTTCCTCCAATCAAACAATGAAATTGTAATTCCATGAAGTTTGGTAAGAATGGAATTACAATTTCAACATACCAAACACCTCAAAATTAATGTACAGTAAAGTAAAGAGAATACTAGAGATACATACGGAGTAATATCATCAATTATTTATTAATTATTTTTTAATTCAATATATACACAAAATATATAATTTCAGCATATACGAAGAAAAGATATTATCATAATATAATTCATCTAGTAATGTTTACATCTATTTATTTACAACGACAATAACATTTTTAAAATAATTAGTACAAATTATCACATACAACAAAATAAGTGATTTATTTATTAAACTAGTATTCAATGGTAAAAAATAATTTTAGAGGTTTTTTTTTTTTTTTAATATGTCATTCTTTTTTATGAAATAGTAAATCAATTTAAGTTAAATATAATCTTATCTAAATCAAGTTAAAGATTTGACTAACATTATACCAATTAGCATTTTACACGCGATATACGAAAATTCATGTTTAGTATTAAAATAGAGTTAATTTCACTTTTAGTCTTATGACTATTGAAATTTTGTTAATTTCAATCCACGACTTTCAAAATTGTCAATTTAGTACCTTAACTATTCAATTTTT